TAGCTCCGCCAGTGAACGACACACTCATGGATTGATTATACCATATGATAGGTTAAATGTAACTTAGCTTCATGTTGGAGTTAGGTTGCAATGCTGCGACCATTCAGTTACAGTAACATGTGGACCATCTTCTGCTCTTTGTAGAATTGTGTTTATGCTCTCCTTGCTACTACTCAGCTGTGATCTGCTTCTCAGTTTGTCGCAAAGGAACTAGCCATTAGCTGTTAAATCAGTTGATCAGCTCTGAGCTGTACTTACGTTGACTCCCGTCTTAACGAAAAGATACGCAAACACTTGTTTGCATGCTCACTAAAACAAATCAGGTTGACAGCCCTTTAAGGCTTTAATTGCTCTGGCACATGTTTTTTTCTCATTGAAAATGCAGAACTTCCTAATTTGATCTGTAAGATGCTGCTTTCAGCGCTTTGTGTGCCTGTTACAGTTCCGCAAGAAGTATTTATTCACAAGATACTTTCTTAACACACTATATGACACCTTTTCTAAAACAGCTCATGGACTCCCACCACAAGGCAGCAATCAAGCACAAACATCAGTAATTCCCTTGATGTCTCAGCAACAGGCCCGGCAGCCAAATAGCTCTACATCTGTACAAGCTTCTTCCCTCGCTAATATCGGACAGAACTTGCCAGGTGTCAACCAAACATCAACGATGCAGAACGCGTCTGTCATGCCACAGAACACAATGAATAATGGCTTGGTGCAAGGTACTTCACAAGATATTTATGCTGCACAAAGGCAAATGGCAGGAAGGCAGCAACAGCAACAATCACAACAATTAATTTATCATCAGCAGCAAATGCTTATGAAGCAGAAATTGCAGCAGAATTCACTTATGCAACCGCATATTCAGCAGCAGCAGTCTTTGTTGCAGCCAACACAGACGCAATCTTCACAGCAATCCATGATGCAAATGTCATCTGGCCTTCACCCTGGGCAGTCTACCGTTCCACAGACGCAGCCAATGGCCATGCAGTCAGCTACTCAGAGTGGTATTCAACAGAATCAATTGAATTCCGTACAACAATCTGTGCAATCATTGCTCCAGCAACCTCAGCAATCTGTTGGGAGGCAGCAGCAACAAGCACAGCCCTCCATGCATCAACAACCTTCTTTGCAGAGTCCGCAGCCCAATATTCCTTTACAACAGCAGCATCAACAGTTGATGGGACAGCAACCAAATGCACAACAAAATCAGCTAATTGGACAACAGAATGGTGCTATGGAGATGCAGCAGCAACAGAGGCTACCAGTTCAGTCAAATAATCTCTTGAATGTGCAGCAAACACAGCAGATGTTGAACCAGACGTCTACGCCTTTGCATCAGCCGCAACAATTGGGCTCTCAGTCAAACATGTCGAGTCTACAGCAGCAGCAACAAAATCAACAGCCGCAGCAGCTTCTTGGGACTGTACCTAATGTTTCAAACATGCAGCGGATGCATATGCTCCAAACAAAAGTTCAGCAACCACAGCAACAACAGCATGCTCAGCAGCCACCAATGGGTTTGATGCAACCTCAGTCTCAACACAACCAACTTCAACAATCGCAACAGCATCTTATGTCGCAGTTCCAGTCTCAGCCTAACCAACTACAACAGCAATTAGGGATGCAGCAATCCTCCATGCAGCAAAGACTTCAAACTTCAGGAGGCATGCTCTTGCAACAAAATAACATGGATCAGCAAAAACAATTTATTCAGGCACATAGGGGCCTTCAAGAAGTTTCCTCTAGTAGTAAGTTTTCACATGCGCTTTGTTTGTAGATCCATTGTATGCTCTTATTGTTCTCCCTTTTTTTCCCTCCTTGTTCTTGTGTCTATCTTCCTGTTGTGTTACTTTCTTGTACAGTTCAAACTAACTTATTGATCTGGCCTCTCATTATTTTCGCCTTACATAGTACTCCCTCCGTTCCTTTATGTAAGGTGTATTTGCTGTTGTAGTTGGTTAGGCTGATTATCCCTAATCCTCCATGCAGCAATCCTCTTGCAACAAACAGATTATGAAATTAATGTTTATGGTACATGAACTAGCTTGAAATTAATGAAACTTCTTTGGAGATGACAACCAGATTCATAATTCAGATGTATTTATATGCTTTTGACGAGTAAAATGCACCACAGGTCCTAGAACTATCGAGGGGGTGTCAAGTTATCCCTAAAGCTTCAAAACTGCATTTCACTCTTTTTTTACCTGCAGTAAGGTGGATAGAATGACAGCTCGAAGATGGAATTATGTACTATGATATTTAGTGATCAAGTACTCTGTAATCATCATGTTGACTAAACTGACCTTATTGATCTTCTGTTACTCTCGTTCACTACATTGTTTTTTCTTGTTTGTTGGATTTGTTTCTGAAAATGATACTGTATTGTGCAATGATCATGATGACAAAGCGGACCATATTGATCTTCTGTGATTCTTCATTTTGGTTCACAAGTCTTCCAATTGCCCCTGCATTCCATCCTACAATGTTCTTCTAGCTTGTTATTTGTTGGCTTGTTCATTGTATCCTGGTACTCTTTGACAATCTTGCTTGTTATGCAGCATCTGCGGACTCTACTGCTCAAACAGGCCATGCAGGTGCAGGTGATTGGCAAGAGGAGATATATCAAATGGTGAGACATCATACTTAATTACTGATATCGTCATTTTTGGTACTCCCTTTCATGGAACTTCCTAAAATTCGTAGACAGTGGCCCCTAGAACAAAGAGGTTAGAAGATGAAACAACCTGCCAATTCCTCTTCTGGAATTGGAACCGGAATTTCATACAACGCAATAGTCTAGTGTGTAGGTGCACCACATTCTGGCAATCTTATAAGATCCCGGCTCATCTGTCTGAACATTCTGGCAGTTTTCTTATAAGATCCTGGCTCATCTGTCTGTATGCCTGGCTACTATCAAGGCTGCACCGCTCGACGGGGGAGGTCGTGGTAGCATATATATGAACAAAGCATACAGATGGCTTTGAATTGCGTCATCGGACGAGACCCTTGACGCTCGCCAGGCCCTTACGCATGTGTCCTTAAGTGCTTGCCAACGAGCCGAAACCGGCATGCATTACTACGGCAGTTCGCGAGACTCTGTCTATGCATTGAAAGAGAGACTGCCCTGCTCTCATGAATCTGAAGCTACTGCACGACACCCATGAGACTATATCACACGAGCCGTACACGGACAGACAAATGCGGTTCACAGACACGTGACTGACGTGCTACGTATCACAAGGATATGCGCGATATACAGAAGGATACGTATACGATGCGTAGGTTCAACGCATGGCTGTCATAGGTTCCTCCCAGGCATACACATGGACCTGTCACGGCTAGCGGACCAAAGCTGTGTCTGTCTCGCCGACGCGCGTCACTTGTGAAAACGGGACGTAACGGCCTGCCCGTACATATCGAAACCTACACAACATGCTGGTCGACCGGTGGAACCTGTGATGTACAGATTCTTGTGACGGCGAATCCTTCGTCAGCACACACTGGGCAGGCTTTTTGTCAGACCATTATGCATAAAGTGGCCAGAACCGGCTTGCCACCACAGCTCAGTTAGCCCATCACATGGGTTTCAGACGGTACCACACCAGGCAGCTAGTGCGAATCACGAAGCGAGGCAACTGTACCGATAGCTCTTTCTAGGGTAAGCTATGATAGAAAATCCTCCTCGAAAAGATAAATCCCGAAGGTTCGGATTTTGCCCATGGAAAATCAACCGGTTTTTATGGCAACTTTAGTTAACGCGAGGATGACAAGTTTAGTTCACACGCCTGGCAATTTCCTGGCAAAAAAAACTGCGGGTGGAATTGCCATGCTTACCAACTGAACTTGCCATCCTTGCGTCAACTAAAGTTGCCATAAAAAACTTTCTATTTGCCATGGGCAAAATCTGAACGTTTGGGACTTAGCGCGTTCCTATATATATGTATATATACTAGGAAACATACCCGTGCGTTGCAACGGGAGAAAAAAAAAACTTTTCATGTCCTTAGCTCATACCTCATGGACTCCTTCGTTACAACACCATGAAAGAAAAAAAGCACCTGTTTTTACAACTCCATATATTATTTGTATATAGTTGTACACAATACATCATAAGGGATATCGAGAAATAGCACTGCAAATATTCATCGGGTTTGATAAGGTGGTATCTTCGCATCTGATCATGAATGTTTCGGGAAATTGCTCATGGTGGCGATGATGTTGGCATACCTTATTTACAGGAGCTCAAGGTCTACACAATGTCATCTCCCTCTCCGATTTCGGTCGATGTGTTTGTGGTTCCGGTCCGGGCACCACCTTATTTTTCTTGTTGCCTTGCTGATAAGATTGAGGTGTTGAGCATTTTATCTAACAAATAATTCAAGTATGATCAGGTTAATGGTAAGAAATAATAATAAAGTATAAATGTACCTCCCTTGCGTCGGTATATCTAATCAGCCGGGTCTTGCATCGTATCTCTCATTGAGAATCTGCTACATGCTTTCTTTTATCATCTATAGGTAGAATCATCCAGCAGCCAGCTTCTGAATATGTGCAGGTTCTGCACGTATATAAATTGGTGTGATTGCACACAAGGAGTCGAGGTGGTACTATTTTAGAATGGGACGAAACCTTCCAAGCAAGAAGCAACAGAATCATTCTAGCTCAGCTGGCATCAAGCTAATTAGTTGGTGCGGAGGGCGCGAGTTCGATTCTACGTACTCGCAAACAATTTTTGGGTACTCAGTTAATGGGCCGGCTGAGTTGGGCCGCTGACATCACGTTTCTTTTTTTTTTCTTTTAACGAAACTATTACGATGCCTCGCCCAGTCTACCAAGGGGACGACGGACGAAACCTGTTTGACCAAGGACGGACGAATTTACGGTGGTAAGAAGCAATAGCCCCTTTATTAGTAGGTATAGATTATATGTACATGGAATTCTGTATGAATGGGGGGTATGGAGCATACATCCATAGAGTATGTAGGTGTAGTAAATCCTCAAGGCAGTTAGCAATCTTTTTTAAAGCGATTTTATTTAATGGGCATCATAGTTTCTTATGTTATTTTAGATCTGTATGCTTCTAAAAGTACTTGAAGTACCTTGCCAGAGCCATATTTGCTGACTTAGACAAACCATGATCTATTAGCTGTTCTGTTTTCATCTCTATATAGTTTCTGCGCCAAACTTATGTATATGTGGTCTTTGTCAACAGATTAAGAGCTTGAAGGACCAATACTTTGCAGAACTCAGTGAATTGTTCAATAAGATATCTGTGAAGCTACAGCATGTTGACAGCATTATACCACCTCAAAAGCCATCTGAGCAGTATGATAGAATGAAGAGCTTTAAAATAATGTTGGAACGTATATTACAAATGCTGCAAATTAGCAAGAGTACCATCCAACCTGCTATGAGGGACAAAGTTCCTCAATACGAGAAACAGATTATCAGTATCTTGAATTCACAAAGAAGGAAGCCAGTACAGCCACAAATACAGCAACACTTCCAGCCACCTGCAGGACAAGCTCCTAATTCTAGCATTTCACAGCAGCAACAGCCTTCCCAAACTTTGCAGCAGCATGATAGTCATACTAATCCTCAAGCAAGTTTGTCAAGCATGAGCACTGGGTTACAGTCCTCTAGTGCAGCTGGTATCCAGCATGTACCTGCGCCTCCAACAAAGAACTTCAGTGCCCCCACACAGCAAAATGGTGCAAACATACAGCATCAGGCTGACTCTAATTTGGAGACTGCTCAAGGAGGCAATTTCAATTCTTTGCAGCATGGTTCAGTGAGTAGTGCATTACAACAGGGAAGCACTGTGCCGATGCAGGGAACAATGAATACACAACTGCAGACAAGTAGTAGCATGTTATCTCACAACTCAATGAGTACGATGCAACCTAACGGTAACTCCATGCAAGCAAATGCAAGTTCATTTCTGCAGCTGAAGCAGCAACAGCAGGATCATCAAATGATGCAGAGTCAGCAAATGAAGCGTCAGATGTTTCAACAGTACCAGCAAAAGCAACAAATGCTTCAACAGCAGCTCCCAGTACAGCAACACTTGCAGAAACAGCAGCCAGTACAGATGCAGATTCCACAGCTTCATGCTGGAAATGACGTTAACGAGGTAAAGGTTAGACAAGGAACTGCAATGAAACCTGGTATGTATCAACAGCACTTGGGCCAACGCAGTAACTATTATCATCAGCAGTTGAAACAGAGTGGTGCTTTCCCAATTTCGTCACCACAAAACAACCTTCAAGCATCATCCCCACAAATTTCTCACCATTCTCCTCAGGTTGATCAGCACAATCCATTGCCATCTCAAGTCAAGACTGGGACACCCTTGCATTCAGTTAACTCACCATTTGTTCCATCACCATCCCCGTCTATCGCCCCTTCTCCTATAACAGTGGATTCAGACAAACCACACTCCAATATATCATCACTTACTAATACTGGGCAGGCTGGACATCAGCAAACATCCCTAGTGCCACAAACACAATCGATTGCTGTGAACACACCAGGGATATCAGCATCGCCCTTGCTAGCAGAATTTACAAGCGTGGATGGAAGTCAGGCTAACATGCCAACTCAAGCTCCAACCAAATCAAGTGCAGTAGAAAGGCCTCTGGTTCGCTTACTTAAAGCAGTAAGTATCCTGTGAACTTTATATTTACTTTCTGTGTATTCTTTTGTGCTTTAATTGGTGTTGTTCTGAATGTACCCCCCTCCCCCCTCCCCGACTCCAGAAAGAAGGCACACACACTTTTCAAAATTCAAGTTTTACCATAAACTTAATGAATGGAATGTGGGTACATGTCACATAAGTTATACCATTAAATTCGTATCGGAAAGAATTTTCTAATGGTAAAGTTACATAACTTATATATTATATTGTTCTAATTGATGGTCGAAGTTAAATCTTGAAAAGCGTGCAGGTCCTCCTTTTGGAGTAAGAGGGAGTATTGTAAAACTTGACGATAGCCAGACTGTTCTGAAGCGTACTGGCATAAAAAGAATGAGGGCCAAGAATGGCAATTCGATTATAGGAGTTAGATATATCATTCCCTTTACTGGTCCACTAAAATTAACTAGTTGCTCAAATGATAGGAATTTCACATAATCATTTTTGTTCTTACCATCTGAAGATCTGAAAGCATGTTAAGTGTAACATGAAAATATGTTACTCCACTTCGGTCAACTAGTTTTTCACATGATGGCGATGCTGCCTATCCATGTCCATTCTTGCTATCCTAATATTTGAAAGTTCATGTGAAAACAAAAAGAATTGACCTGGTTTCATTACTTCTGTTGATTTTTACTGTAAAGGATCCAGAATTTTTGTCTGGTAGTCTGTTCTGCTTTTGTGGTAAATACATAAGAAGCCATTTACACTGTTCAGTTTAGTCCTTTAAATTAGTTGATACATGGTCTTCCAGTTATTATCTTTTGCCTGTTTTATGTTCAACGGTGTGTTACATGCAGTTGCGAACAACACAGCGCGAGTCTCTTAATGCTGCAGTTAGCGACATTCGATCTGTTGTCAGCATGATTGACAGGATTGCTGGGTCAGCACCTGGTAATGGCTCGAGAGCTGCTGTTGGTGAAGATTTAGTTGCTATGACAAAGTGCCGGTTACAAGCCAGGAATTTTATAACAAATGATGGAAGTGGTGCATCGAAGAAAATGAAGCGTGATACAAGTGCCATGCCTCTTAATGTGTCATCAGCTGGAAGTTTCAACGATAGCTTCAAGCAAACATTTAGTGTAGATACCCCTGATCTACAATCAACTGCAACCTCACAGGCCAAGTGGCAAAAAATTGAGGTATGTTATTAAGATTATCTGTTGAGAAACAAGAGAACGTTATTTTTATCCAGTAGTTATACTTGAAGCAGTGGTTATTTATTTATTTACTTTTTCTATAGAAGGGAAGGGAATGTAGTTCTTTGACTGGTAATTGTTGGCTACCTTGCATTTTCACTGGCATTTGGTCCATGTTTGTGCAGGTAAATCATGCTCTCTTGGAGGAGATCCAGGAGATAAACCAACAGCTCATAGACACGGAGCTCCATGTATGCGAGGACGATGCCGAGTCATTCGCTGGTACATGTGAAGGAGCTGAAGGGACAGTCATCAAATGCACATTTACTGCTGTGGCTGTTAGTCCGAGCTTGAAGTCCATTTTTGCATCTGCACAGATGGTAAGCTTTTGAAAGCACACTATGTTGTGGATCTATTTCATCTGCTCATTTCTTCTTGTTGGAATGTGCTAGAGCCCAATTATGCCGTTGAGGTTGCTTGTTCCTGCTAGCTACCCTAAATGCTCCCCGGTGCTCCTCGACAAGTTTCCGGATGAACAAAGGTCCGTAGTCACTCTGTCCATTAGTCCCCGTGTAACACCATGTCCTAGTGTAGCTTATTATTAAGTGAAGATTGAACTAACTGTGCTGCAATGGACCCGCACCAGAAACTCGGAAGACCTGTCTATGAAAGCAAAGTCAAAGTTTAGCATATTACTGCGGGGTCTAGCTGAGCCCATGTCGCTGCGAGAAATCGCAAGGACATGGGATGCTTGTGCACGCAAAACCATTGCAGAGTATGCTCAGAAGACTGGCGGAGGAAGTTTCAGTTCGAGTTATGGTTGCTGGGAAAGTTGTGTAGGTGCTTGATCCGGCTCTTATGTTTTGTGTTGGCGTCAAACTTCATTTTACGTGCTCAAGTGCAGTTCCGATCCCTTGGTGGTTATAGTTACCTTTATACAACAGTTGAGCAAATACGCGTGTGCTGTATTTGTGATTGTATTTATACAAGCTCACTGTTGGCTTGATAGTTAGAGGTCCTTTTGTGCTATATTATTCATATTTGTTATGAGTAGTTGTGAGTAAATATATTAGTAGTAAACGGAAAATCTAAATGATGAACGTTACCCTTATTAGAGGTATTCTCGACCACTTTGCTCTCAGGGTATTTTTCACCTAAAAAGTAGGTAGGGAGGTGAACTGGCAACCTCAACTGAACTATTCTGGCGACCAACTTGGCTAACAATTTCTTTTCTTTTACTAAAAGACGTGTTTGTTTCACTGTTTTTTGGTACAGTGCTATGCAAAACCGTTACCGTGTTTGGTTTCAGGTAGGCCTGATTAGGGGCTAGTTCTTTTGGCGGCTTTTAAAATAAGCTGCCCCTTCCTAGCATATTTTATAATCCGCCCTCAATATTCGTTGGGTCTTGCAAACTACTACCTCCGTAACAAAATATTGACAAAATGTAAGATGTCGTCTTACATTTTGATATAGAGGGAGTAGTTTAGAGGTAACCAGTTCGCAATCAAACTATACATCAATACAAAGACCATTGCACCTGTAGCTGACCGGCGAATGATACCGTCTTGATATGTTTTTCTCGCTTTGACACTGTTGTTGCCGCAATGTTTTTCTCGCTTTGACACTGTTGTTGCCGCAATGTTGCTCAGAAAGGAAAAGAATGTTCCTGTCGCTATTGGCACAACGATCATGTAGCTGCCATCGATAGTTGCCGCACACACGGGCACGCGAAAAAGGTGTTGAAATATAACCCTTGCGGTTATAGGGGATAATCCCTGCTCCCTAACCGTCACACGTACGGCGATGGTTCCTGTAACGATGCCTTTACAAGCCATCGTGTCCCTGTTAGGCGACTGTTCCCATTGTATAAAGGGGACGGTTAAAACTCAGTCGACTGAGTTTTAAGGAAGTCAAAGTCGATGTATCTAGCCTTCGATCGATTTCTGTTTAAGATTCGGGGTCGTTATTTCCTTGTGTTGTACCGGCCTGTTTTAGTTGTGTCGCCGACCCATTGCCTTGTTTCTTTTTTCTTTTCTTGCCTTCTCTTCTATTCTTTGTGTTGGACAGAGATGCCCCATGGGTGGCCGTGACGGGTGGTGTGGCTTTTCCTTTTTCTGTTTTTTGGGCTTTCTTTTAGGCTGTTTTTTTTAGTGCTCCCGTTGCTTGGGGACAGGAGGGATTAATAGGGTTGTTCGCTTTGGTTTGTTCCCATTTTCTTTTTGTTTTTTCTTTATATTTTATTTTCTATTGCTATTATTATTTAAAATAATATTGTCCCTTGTTTACACATACGTCAATCGCACACAATTACATGTTTTATTGTTTGTGTCCGTATGCAACTTTTTTTCTTTCCAAAAATATTATCGCCAAAACGCCTGTCGAGTACACATAGTTTCATGCACATCGGTCACACACAATTGTACGTATGTCATTGACATGTAACTTATCTTTTTTCCTTCTCAAAAATATTTGTCACCGGCCAATTAGATTTTGATTCTGGTTTGAGTTTTTTTAACTCTGTTTCTAGTTCGAATAGAGATCGGTAGGGCCAATTGTATGTCTGACACTAGGAATACAACTGCAAGTGTTGCACCCGACCGCAACTCCATGTCTTCTAGCCCGAATGCAATGGAAAGTTTTTTTTTCTATCGGAGGGGGCACCGGTAGAGGGGGCGGGCCAGTAGCAAACCCGACAACATCCCCGCAACTGCAAGCGTCACACCCGACCGCAACTGCATGTCCGCTAACATGGTTTCAACGAGACCTTTGTTTTGTCTA